AAACATTTTTACTCTGTCCTTTTCCTTAAAAAGGACCCAAGGAGGCTTACATCATTAAAAGACAATATTTAAAGCTGAAAACAACACATATACAAATGTTTTTTTTAAAAAAATCATACAAAAACCACACTAAAAATGGTAAACAAAATCAACCAAAGCCAGATTCAAAGTAACAAGGCACAACACTCAATTAATAAATCCCTCTCAGATGACCAATCACTAAGGGAACGCCTGCCTGAAAAGAAAGGACAGCAAATATGAGGCCAGCATGGCCTTCTGTGGGAGGAAGGTTCCAGAGTCTGGGAACAGCAACAGAGAAGGCCCTCTCCTATATCCCCAACAAACATACCTGTGAGGGTAGTGGGACTGAAAGAAAGGCCTCCCCTGATGATCTTAATACCAGGGCAGGCTCATAAAGGGAGATGTTGCCTGTATTCGCGAAGGCTTTCACGGCCGGGATCTAATGGTTGTTTAATTTTATAAGTTCCAATCCAACTATTCCTGGAGTCTTTATCTTTAATTTATTAATAATATCCTTTATCTCTTCTTTAACAGTCTTGTTCTATAGAATCTCTAACATATCTTTTTCTTGATATAGCCAAAGAAAGTTTCCCCCATATATAATATATGAACAAAATCAAAACACATTCAATTTATCCTTCATCAAATTGCACTTTTGGTCCATTTCATATTTAACTATCCCAATTAAGCTCTTGCATTTTTTTAATTTGTGTGGCTCTAGCCAACATTCTCGAGTTCTTATTCTGAATTCAAAATTATCTATTTTAAAATATATTAAATTCTTCTGAATTTTTTCCATTTCAATATTCTGCAACTCTTTCTTTGTGCTTGTATTTTGGCTACATTTTTATATCTCTATCTTTTATATATTCTCCCTCTAACACTCTTATTTCTTCTTCAAGCTTTTTCATGTTTTTTCCTTTTTTTTCTTTCTAAGCTATACAATTCTCAAATACTGTACTTAATCCTCTTGGCACTACGTTTGTTGTATCCCACACAATACTCTCGCTGCAACCTTCTCTATTGTTAATCCTCCATATTTCCATCATTTCTTTCTCCATTCTACCAAATCCTTTTGTTGGAAAATACTTTATCTTCCATATTTTATCTTCTCTATTTATTTATTTTATTTATTTAATTTATATGCCGCCCACACTACCCAAAGGTTTCTGGGCGGTTTACAGCATTTAAAATACAATAAAGATATGTAGCAATTAAAATACAATTAAAATATATATAAAATTGCCATCGGACCCACAGCTAATATTATTTCAGTTAAAAGCCTTCTGGAACAGGAAGGTTTTGACCTGGCGCCGAAATGTCATCAGTGTCGGCACCAGATGAATCTCAGTAGGGAGGACATTCCATAGTCTGGGGGCAGCTGCCGAAAAGGCCCTTTGTCTACAAGCCGTCCCTCTTACCTCCTTGAGGGACGGCTCTTTCAAAAGGGCCCCCTGGCTAGATCTTAACTGCCGGGTAGGCTCATATGGAAGGAGGCGGTCCTTCAGGTATCCAGGGCCCAAGCCGTTGCCACATCTAATTTTCGTATTCATAATCAACAAAGCATTATCAGTTACCTTTATAATATCTACATCAGTATAAATCATTCTAGGAACCAAATTGAATACAAATACATAATCTATCCTGTAGCTTTTATGCACTGAAGATTAGAAAGAAACATTTTTATTGTCTTCTTTCAACATCTTTCAAACTGGATTTTTTTATCATTCTATCCAAAATTGGAATTACAGTGGTGCCTCGCTTAACGATGATAATTGGTTCCCAATTATCGCTAAGCGAAACACGGTTTCCCATAGAAATGCATTGAAAACCGGATAATCCGTTCCAATGGGGACGGATTGCTGTCCTTAAGCAAAAATCGCCACAGGAAACATCGCTAAGCGAAACACAGTTCCCCAATTGAAATGCATTGAAACCTATTCAATGCATCTCAATGGGGGGAAAATTACAACAAATTTAAAGAGTCGGAACAAAGTCAAATTAGTTTAACAAAGGGTTTATTAAGTGCACTTATGATTTCAAGCATTCTAAACATTTTTAAACATTTTTAAACATTAAAAAAAACAGACAACATGAGGCTGTCAAAACCATCATTAAGCGAAACAGGGGGACCCAAACTGTCATCGCTATGCGAAGCATGGTCCCAAACATCGCTATGCGAAAATCGCCCATAGGAACCATCGTTAAACGGAGCGCAAGATCGCTCCAAAAGTCATCGCTAAGCGATTTCATCGTTAAATGAAGCAATCGCTAAGTGAGGCACACTGTATTCCTTTTTTATTTATGAGTAGGATTTGATTTGTCTTTCTCTTTACCCATTACCATATTAAAATCTACCATTATTATATACCATTTTTTAAAAGAATCTGAATGGTTATCATTCAGGGAATAAAGATTAATCTTCATCTCACCTTGTAACATTATATACCTACCTCTTTCAACTTTCGTCAATTTATTCAGTTTGAATTCACATTTCTTAGAAATAATGATAGCAATCCCTCTCGATCTTGAATTCCCATAAGGTTTCTCATAAATATCAAACCAAGATTTTTTAATGCATTCGCGAAGGCTTTCATGGCCGGGATCTAGTGGTGGTATGTGGTAGCACAGAGTGCTACTCCTGTCCTCTGAAGACGCTGGCCACAGAGGCTGGCGAAACATGAGGAAGAACAACCTTCAGAACACGGCCGAAGAGCCCGAAAAACCCACAACAACCACAAGATTTTTTTACATAATTTGTGCTATGCCACTGTAACTAGAGAATGGGATTTGGGCCAGCATTCCCAAGCTCTGTGCTCCCATTAACAGAGGCAACCATAAAAAAGACTCAGAAGGATGCAGAACCCTCTAATAGTGGTTGCTAGAGTGTCTTCCAGAGGACAATATGGGTACCTGTTCTCTGAGAAGCCCTCAGAAGCTAGGAGCATCGATGCCTGGCATAATTGGAGAAGGGGGTAGTAACTGGCAGGAAACAGCAAAATCACTGAGCGCATGAACAGAAAAAACAGTGGAGAAATCAGTGTTGGAAGTGAATTCAGGCAGACATTATGGTGAGCAAAGGAGTGCACAGAAATAATTCAGGAGGTGGGAAGGCAAAGTTTGCTAATGATAATTCATGATTCTTGATGTGACTGTACTTATTACTTATGTAAAACTTGTATTCTAAGGAAATACAAGTCTAGGATTTGGTGAGGGAAGCACCCTCCTTTGCTCACCTGCACACATCAATAATGGGAGGGGCCTAAAGACAGCTTGGGAAACAGCATGTAGTCCACAGCCTGTGTGCCCCTGACCTAAATAAACTAACCTGCTGATAAATTCTACTTTGACAATTTCAAAATGAATTCTTCTAAAGTTTTTTTCTGGACTAATGGTAGTAGTAATGGTAGCTGTCACGGAACCGGGGAACCCTGTGATACCATGTCACACTTCCCCCATCAAGATCCCTTTCCATCCACTCAGCCACACACCTCCCACTGATCCCGAAATGGAAGAACTCAGAGTGAGCAGACATGAGGGGATGCTATGAGTATTGACTATGAATGTTTCACTTCCCAACACACACCCCAGTCCACTTGACTAAGTGACTTCTAGAGAGCTTAATGTAAAACAAAGATTCACAAGGTTGGCATGCAAACCTAGTGTGCTAAGCTTGTGAAATAGTTCGCCAGCACTCCCATAAAAATATCAAACATTCAGTAGCATGGTTGAGGTTATACCTGCCTTTAGCACCATGGTCCCTCTCAGCTAAAAACCCAGACAGTTGCTTGAAGGGATTTTTGTATTTTATTAAAAGAAAAAAGGGGTGGGTGGGGAGAGGACAATTTAAAAGAATACAAGTTCTACATAGTTACAAAGAAAGGTTACTCAAAAATCAGAAGCAAATGTGATTATAGGATTACAGCATCCACACAGAAATTCACCAGAAAATAATAAAGTCTAATCTACCCTATCATATCTAAGCAGAGAGATGGAGTAGTTCAGGAGCACATTCCAAGCATTCCCTGGCATAGCTTCATAAAATGGCACATTCAAGTCTCCTCACAAGTCATGCTGTGGCCAGGAAGCAAAGTATGATCTCCACGGAGGTATGCTAGGCTCAAAAGTTGAGTCTTCCATTTCCCATTTTTATATAAATGAATGAGTCGTTTTGCACCTCTGACACACTAATATGTAATTGCTCTTAATTTTCTTTGATCCTTCTACAACAGAGGTTGTCAACCTCCAGTCCGCGGCCCAGTGCCGGTCTGTGACCTGAGCCGGACCAGGCCACGGAGACAGACTTCCTGCTTCCCCCACACACACTCCCCTCCCCACAGCTGCTTTGCGCATGCACGTGCCAGCGCTCCCCCCTTCACGCATGCGCCCGAGCACCCGTATGAAGGGGTGGGCATGCGCGTGTGAGGGCGTGTAGGTGCTCCTGCGCCTGTGCGAAGGGATGGAGGAGCACTCATGCTGGTGCTGGCATGTGCACGTGCACTCCCCCACCACTTTGCGCATGCACCCGAGAGACTCAGCCAGGCCGTGGTCCCAAAAATGTTGGGGACTGCTGTTCTACAAGACAAAAGTTTTCCTAACTTGCCAGATCTGTATACATCACTGGAAAGGAAGTGATCTGACTCCCTTCAGGTTAAATGTTATTTTTTTGTTAGAAGACAGAAGATAAGTACGGAAGTATCTGCTCCTCTCATTTCATCTTTGAAGATACAAGAGGAAAGTGGAAGACGTGAACTGCCTGTTTCTCATTTGATCTCTGATAAAGTGATTAAGTTCTCATACCCTCACAGAAACACAGATGAGTCCAGAAAATGAATCCCGTATTTCCAATTCCCCAAGTCCTTAATTTCTTTACTGTAGCAATTAATAGTTACAAAGCTATTTTGCCCAAAACTTTATGAATACACATATTTCATGTGCAATTTCAACACTACCCAGAATAATCAAAATCTAAGACTTACTCATGCACTCTGTTATCACCATACAAGTCACTTAATCCAAAGCTAACATAGTGCCAATGCTCAGGAACATTTTGTGTTGGATTTCCCAAGTTCCTATACATACTGACATAGTCCAGAGGATCAGGTCCACCTAACCTGTTTAAAAAAGAGAGAGAGAGGCAAATAAGTTGCAAGTTACTGTGAAACAGATATATTCATCACCACTAAGTTCAATACTAAATCCACCTGTTTCCAAAAACATTCTGGATTAGCAAGAAATAATATTTGCCCTGTGTCATTACAATGATATTTTGTCATAGACTTTACAATTTTGAACTGATCTTCACAACATGTCACATACTGTTCTTATCATTTAAACAAAAACAAAAAGGAAAGCATGCAGAAATGCTAGCATGATTTATGAGACAAATCCCACATGTTCACAATAGGAATTAAAATGTATATATGAGAATCAGTTACTTTCAAATATTTGGGTAAGAAAATTGAACACCTGAATGTGCACTATATGTTTAAAGTGTCTTTCAATAACACATATTTTGTCTTAAGAACCTTACTGACACTCACAATACAGATCAGAATTGATAGCAACACACATTGCAGGTCTGAATTCAACTGAAAAAAGTAGATTTCCCTCAAACCTTCCTGCTACCAAGGAAGATGTATGGAGCTGTATATTGCTCAGATTATCACCTTCTTTTATAAAAAGAAAAGTGGGTTAACATATTTTAAATTAACTAAATAAATAATAATCCTTAGCTAGAACTGAAACTGCAACATTCTGCTGATAAAGCCTAAGTTCTACCTATGAGCTATGGCCCTTCCCTGCTGCCAAAGGTACTCTCCGTAGACTTCACCTATATTTCCAAAATGAAGGAAATCAGTCAAAAATACCCTTTCCCTCACATTTCATGTGAAGCTGTCAGTATCATAAGGGTAGCAATACAATACCTGTTGCACTGAGTTTATTTTTCTATTCCTCTCTCCCTCCCTCTCTCACTTTTGTAAAGTTTTGCTGGAGTTCACACACTGCCTCTTGTGAGTCTCCAGAAGGTAACACTCTTCTATATTACTGCTTTTAAAATCTCAGGATTTTCTGCTTATACTGTGTGGAAATCTAAATTTCAAAGGAAAAAATGGAAGATTATTTGATTGAAAAACAGGGAACACATAATTAATTAATTACTGTAGCAAATTGTTTACCAACAGCAATACCACTTCTAGTTCCTGCTGCTTCATCTGTTATGACTGGACTCCTCCTTCTCCCCAAATGTCATGAGAACCAGTTGCTTCATGGGTAGAAAGAGCAGTAGCAATAAATTTAGCTGTCGCCATTGTCATCTCCTCCCAACTACCTATAGCACTCTCAGAGCATGCTATGCTGTGTAATTTTCAATGACATTCTGTTTAAACCACAGACTGAAAGGCTGCTCACTCACCGGATCAGGCTTACAAGGGGGCAGAAGGGAACCTACTTAGGCAACTGCTGCCAGGAAGATCAGCCAGAGGAAATATGAAAAAGAACATAAAGGCAGTCTTAAATTAAATTACCTAACTTGCATTTTAGTCATGCAAAATTTCACAGAGGAAGAGGAAAAAGGCAAAGAGGTAGCTGGAACAGGACTGAGGAAATGGCTTCCTGTCTCTTTCCAGATGACAGAAAACATGAAAAAATAATTGTGCAGCATCTTGGGGATTTGGGCAAAAATGTTTCCCCATGTTATCATATTCAGTTATAGCTTAGGACTCAAATCATGGATATATCTCATTGACATAACTGTAAAGTTTGAAAAGTGAGCCATGAGTCTGACATGTCAGCTTTGCAGATTTGCTTAAACCCAATCCCTACATTCTGAGTGTTAAGACACCTTATGATCAAGTTGAAAAAAGTATACAATCTGAATCTAAAGTGAAAAGAGTACTGACTGCATGTGCTGGTTTCCCAATTCTATTCATGACAGATCTACTGGGAAGCAACAACAGTTCAAGGTTTTCTCACAGACCTGCAAGTATTAGAAGTGAAGTGGCCCCAAGAAAATACATATCTAGTAGTCTTTCTCCTTTCTCTAAACCCATTTCTTTTAGATATATGCTAGAAAAAATATACAGTGCAACTTTACCGCAAGTATTTGGAATGACAAAAAGCCTCAGATCCTACCGCAAAACCAGATACTGTACAGGTTAAATTCCTGAAGGAAGATAAGGAAGACAAGAAACAATGGAATACTGGCAGGCTTAAGTTATCAGACCCAAAATATCAGCTGTATGAGCATTGTTTTTGTTTTCATGGCAAAGGAAACAGTTGTTCTGAGGGGGAAATGCAAGAAACAACTTTTGAAATACTGTAAGTGCTAGGAACTAGTCAAATGCTCAATGAGCAAACAGGTTCAATGCAAATACTCCAAAAGATGCACAATTGGAAGGTTGAAAAGGCAAAGACCTCTAAATGAGTTTTGAGCAAGAATATCTAGGACATCAAATGTCAGTCTCACATCTCCTGTTCACAAATACATTGCTTACAGCAAAAGAACCCCTATTGGTATTTTTCAGGCATTTCTTTCAATGGAAAAATGGCTTAGTTAACCCTGCAAAGGAGTGAAAACGCCAGTTCATGCCGAAGTAGCTACAGCACCTCTGATGTCTGTGCTGTAATAGAGCTCCTGGTTCTAATATATGCAGATGTATCCAGGCTTTCAACCAGCAAAAGCTTAGTGCATTGTCTAGTTTATATTGCACTTTGTGGAACTAAGAACCATGCTATTCCATATACTGTAGTTGGACCAAGCCAGCTGAGGCCTTGCCTGTGTCCTTAAGTCTGGTACTGTTCAACAGAAAGAAACATATTGCAGAAGGAATGGGATTACAAATTCTTCTTTAAAAACAAATGTTATTTTAAGTCTTAGACTGCTTAAGTTAATGTTACAAAAATAGGGAGCTTTCTTAATCTTTTTAGGGCAAGTATGTGCAGAGATGGATGGACTACTCACACTGCAAACCAGGGGTGGGCAGAGCATTCTCTGTAAGATCCATGTTGACCCAAGCACTACTGCCCACAAAAATAATCTTTAAAAGTCACTGCCACTAAATCAGCAATCGTAACATACAGAAAACATACAAAAACCTTAACACAGCAGTAAGCTATCTTTTTGTTGGTGTGAATTTCAGCAGGAACTTAAACTACCACCTTCCTTTATTTCTATTTCCTAAACCTTGACCGTTGACTACAGAAGATAAAGCCTTTTCTTATTTAAAAGCATAAGTTTTAATTGTTTATTCAGAGGTTTTTGTTTGAGGAGGTGATTAAAAATTAGGGAATCACAGATGTGCAATTCCCTGGTACTAGGTATTAAAACAATTGTTAAGAAATAAGACATTAACGACTTGTAAAATAAGCACAATTGCATAATGTATTAAGGAAATATCTTGAAATTATAGAATTTTCCCCCCAGGAACTTTACTTTTTATTTGAAATATTTTTATCCCATCTTTCTCCTTGAAAGGGACCCATGACGGCTTACAAAAACAAAAGGCAATATTTAAAGTTGAAAACAATGAATATAGAATGGTGGTTATTAGATAGCCATAATAAAATACTGTTTACTACAGATAAAAACAAAGAACTCTTGACATCCCATGTAGCTGAAATGTTTTCTGATATTCAACCTCAAGTTAAAATAATACAAATGACAACAATGAAGGAACAGACATCTTAACACAGGAAATTGAAAAAGCAGAAAGAACTAGAAAGGAAGATGAATCGCTTACACTAGATGAAATGAATATAAAGTTTATAAAAACCATGTGTGATCGGATTCGTTTGAATCTTTTGGCAATTCCTCATTTTTGGCGGGAAATAAAGACGGAGACGTATTCACTGAACACAAGACTGGTTTTTTATTTGTCTCAGACTTTTCCGTAACTATTCCAATAGGGTCAAAATAAAACAAGTCTGGCAACCGGCCATAACTGGGTGACGTACACTCTTGTCTGAAGTCTGAATAACTTATTGGGATGCTGGGCCAAAACGTTCCTTGTTGGTGGGCTTCCAAAAGGGCACGCTCCTCACCGCACAAACTGTCCCGCAACATGGGTGTCTCACCCAGTCTCCTTCCTTTGGTGGCTGATTGTAAGTGGAATCTGGATGGATTACCTTCTTTCCTCGACCTTGCCTGCGCGGAAACATGATAATGGTCCACTCCTGGGTTTTCACTACTGCTCGCTCTCACTCTCGCTCTCTCTGTCTTAGGCTCAGGGTCCGGTAACAGTCCTCCAACACTCAAGTTTGGAAAATTTCTGAACAGATCACATGTCTTTTTATAACTACCCTCCTGAATACTTTCCTCCTTCCTTCTAATCTTCTCCCCTTCTAGCTTACTCCCAAACCATTGCTCTCCTTGGACATTTATACTCTCCTCCCAGATTGACACTTTTTGCTCCTCCCCTTTTCCCTTCTCTCCCTCCTCCACCAAGCATATTTCAACCTTCCCCTTTTCTTCTTCTACCTTCTTTGTCTCTCCTAATATATTGCTCTCTTCCTCAGGCATTTTCGAATCACCACCCTCTTCCTCCTCTATTACAGCTTCTATCACGGCTCATTTTCTTTTATCTTTCCTTCACACCATGGCAGAAAATTGTACTGTATTAAAATGCTGACAAGTCAACTTGGTATATCATTGAGGAAAAATTCCTACAGAATGATTACAGTAAATATTTGTGACAATCGTGAAAAAACTAATGCAAAAAGGGCAACTGATATAGAATACGTAACTAGTTTAATGAGTCAAGTTTTAAAGACATTTGTTCAAATTATATGCAAAAGAATTAGAGTAAAATGTGAAGATAATATAAGCAATACACAGTTTGGATTTACAGTAGGTCAAGAATGGGTATGCCTTAATTTAATATTTATTTATTTGTTTGTTTGTTTGTCTTATATGCTGCCCACACCCTGCAAGGGTCTCTCTTTTTAAGTAGAAAAGTTCATGAATACATGGCAAGACTTTGAAAAAGCATTTGATGGAGTTGAATATCATAAATCACTACTGTATAAATATTATGTCAACTATGTATCAACGGAAAGGATATATGCATAGCTCAGTGAACTGGAGTTCAAATCTCTCCTGTGCATTCCAGGAGAGGGTCCACAGCTAAGATCTCCCGGAGTGTGCTTGGCTGATAAAGTCACATACACTGCCAGTAATGTAACTTTCAAAGGTCCCAGAGGTCATCAGAAGGAGGGATCAGTAAACCACTTCTGAGTACATACCTAGAAAACCCTGAGTTGCTTTATGCAATTTATGTCAGAAACAAACCAATTGTACTTCTAGAGTGGAAAAAAAATCAGCCATTACAGTAGGTGCTGTCATTGCTCAGGGGACTGTCAAATGTGTTCACAGTGTTACAGCTGAGTTGCCAGCACACAATTATTATCATTTTACAAAATATTTAATATAATAGGACTATTATTTTTTTAAAGGCACAGATCATTTTTGTCATTGAAAATGTTTAAAATCTAACTCACTTTAAGAAACAAAAGAGCAAAATACATTTATTTACTTGATACATTGCTAGCATATGTACATAAACTACTGTTCTATGTGAGGCCATTTGCTTTCTTTATCAAAATACTCTGTTATTCCCCCACTCCAAATACAGTGCCTAATGGACCATATCCTTGACAAGTCAGAATTTAATACAGTGGGGTCTCTACTTAAGAACGTCCCTACTTAAGAACAATCCAACTTAAGAACAGCTCCATTTGCTAAATTTTGCTTCTACTTGAGAACAGAAATCCAAGATAAGAACAGGAAAAAAAAACCTTTCCTGCTCTTTTTTTAACCTTAGGTCATCTTAGGTTAAAAAAAAATTCTCCCCCTAGTGGTAGAGTACGTATTAACCAGCTTTGCATTAGTTCCTATGGGAACTAATGCTTCAATGTACGAACGCACCTCTACATAACAAAAAAAACAGCCAGAACGGATTAATTGGTTTTCAGTCCATTCCTATGGGAAATTTTGCTTCAACTTAAGAACGTTTCAACTTAAGAACACCATTCCAAAACGGATTAAGTTCTTAAGTAGAGGTTCCACTGTACGCTGAATAAATAATACTCATGGATATCCCTTAACCAAACTTCATCTCAAAAGCTTAACACTCTCTTTCCTTTCCCATCCAATCCCACATCACATTCTTACACAGACAACTATCCACTTCCGAAGCACATCTCTATACATAAATGCAGACAACTACTAGGGAAGTCAAAGTCTCCTTACTTTCCCTTCAAAGCATGCAGTAGAGCATATCTATCCTGTCTGACATCTATATATTTATTGCTGTCAAAAATACAGATAGACAAACTGATATAGATATCCAAACTGTGTATTGCTTATATTATCTTCACATTTTACTCCCTAAATAAACATGCACTGAGTACAGACTAATCCTCAATAATGACTTAGAAATGGAAGCATAATCAAAATGTGCCCCCCTCCCCAGTTATATAGCACACATATGAACTGTTTTCCCTCGGTACTGATTTATATGCCAAACCTTCCGTTTCAGAGGCATCAGTTCACAGGCATTCCTATAAGCCAGTGGTTCTTAACGTGGGCGATAATGCCCCCCAGGGGGCGATTTCATTTTTCAGGGGGGCGGTAGAACGAAAAGGGGCGGCATGGGGGCGCTGGAGCAAGCCAAACCTGTGAAGATG